CTGTCAATTTCCTTTATAGCTACAGCTTTTGACCAGGCATGGTGGCTCACGCCTGTAATCCCAGCATTTTGGGTAAAGATCATTTGAGGTCAAGAGTTTGAGACCAGCCTGGCCAACACAGTGAAAGCCGGTCTCTACTAAAAATAAAAAATTAGCTGGGCGTGGTGGCGGGCGCCTGTAGTCCCAACTACTAGGGAGGCTGAGGCAGGAGAATCGCTTGAACTGGGAGGCAGAGGTTGCAGTGAGCGGAGATGAAGCCACTGCACTCCAGCCTTGGCGACAGAACGAGACTCTGTCTGAAAAGAAGAAAAAAATATCTGCAGCTTTTCATGCTAGCCAAAAATGGAGTACAATTCACATTTCTGTCTGGTCATACACTAGTCACAGATGGGGTGCAAGCCACATTTCTGTCTCGCTCTATTCTTAGGGACTTCATTCAAGCCTTTTATGGAATCACACAGGAGACATCTCCAAAGAGGGAGCAGAAGGATGCAGCCCTAGTCAGCGACTTGTCATCCACATGTCATCCAGAAGTCATGTGCCTTGCCACAGTACAAACTCACCCTAGGTAATCTCACGGTCAAGCACTCTTACAGTGCAAACTAACCCTGATGCCCCAAAGGCCAAAAAATATTAGGGAGCTCAAATGCAACAGAGGGTAGAGCTCAGACCTGAGAGAGACTTGGAAATCTTGGGGTCCATGACGAAGACAGAATACCCCTTTCAGAAAAAGAGGATTAGTGACACCTTTTCCTGTGTTCCTCCAGGGGTCTCAGGGTCACCAGCAGTCTTCTCAGGTCCTTTCATGGTCACTGACGGATCAAAAAGATAAAATTACTATAGACTTTAGTTTAAAGATTTCAATTGGTTTTACTTGAAATTCTAGAATCAGGCAACATTTAATCCCATTAATTGGAGTACGTGTTCCTGTAATTAACTCTTATCTTGGGGTTTCTTAGACCACACAGTGAATATAAAATAGGTCCAAACCCACCCCATTAAAACAGGCTGGAGGATTGGGTTTACAAGGGGAAACATTTTCTCCCACTCAGAACCATCCCTGCACTGACGGGTGTACTTGGAGAATCTATCCTTTCACTTAGGGTGAGAAAGCAACGTTCCAGCTTTATGTAGTGGTATTAATTCCAGATCGCCATCCTTTGCAGGCTCTGGCCTATTTTCCTGTCCCTCCCCTATATAGGTATTAAAATCTATGCCCGTAGATTACTGGGCTCATAATGACTCCCTGCATGACATTTTTCTTGCCCCTCGCAGACATTACTTTAGTTCACTTCCTCACCACTCTAGTTGCAATCTTCATTTTGTTCTAGCACAAAAATGCTTTCTTTTTTTCTCTCTCATAGGCTAGCTATGCATTAAAAGTAGGTTGTGGCCTGGCGCGGTGCCTCACGCCTGTAATCCCAGCACTGTGGAAGGCCGAGGCAGGCAGACCACAAGGTCAGGATTTTGAGACCAGCCTGACCAGCATGGTGAAACCCCGTCTCTACTAAAAACACAAAAATTAGCAGGGCGTGGTGGTGCATGCCTGTAATCCCAGCTACTCGGGAAGCTGAGGCAGGAGAATCGCTTGAACCCAGAAGCAGAGGTTGCAGTGAGCCGAGATGGTGCCACTGCACTCCAGCCTGGATGACAGAGTGAGTCTCCATCTCAAAAAAACAAAAAATAAAAAATAGTTTGTATTATAGTTCATCCAGCATTCATAAATTTGTTGTTAGGTATTTGGGCAAGAATTGGATGTCTGAGAGCTCCCAGTATCTGTACGTTGATTTTGTACCTGCCTGAACTGCTGAACTGGCATATTAGTTCAAATAAGTTTACTGGTTATCTTGGATTTTCTAAGTAGACAATCATATTATCTACATTATTTCTTCATTCCATTCCAAATCCTTTGGTTAAGATCTTTAGTGCAGTGTTGAATAATAGCAAAGTCAACAGACATATTATAGCACACCCAGCCTGGAAAGCTTCTTCTTTGTTTTTTTTGTTTGTTTGTTTTGAGACAGTTTCGCTTTCACTCTTGTTGCCCAGGCTGGAGTGCAATGGTGCAATCTCCGCTCACTGCAACCTCCACCTCCCAGGTTCAAGTGATTCTCCCAGCTCAGCCTCTGCAGTAGCTGGGATTACAGGCATGCGCCACCACGTCCAGTTAATTTTTTTGTAGTTTTAGTAGAGACGGGGTTTCTCCATGTTGGTCAGGCTGGTCTCAAACTCCTGACCTCAGGTGATCCTGCCCGCCTCGGCCTCCCAAAGTGCTGGGATTACAGGTGTGAGCCACCACACCCGGCCACTGGAGACCTTCTGACGTTTCCACCATGAAGTATGACATTTGCCATAGGTTTCTGGAAAATGCTGTTTATTAATAAAACTTCTGACCTTGTATTATTTAACATCAGCCAAAAAAAAACTCTTAATGTTAAATGATTCCACTAATGCTAACATAAGCCAGAATTTTTACTTTATAACATAAGGAATATATGAATATAAGCAGTGACACTATGGAGATTTCCAAAAAGATATCAGGGCACTGGGTACATTATGAGGGCCTCAGACCACTGAGGAATCTACTTCCAAAAACGAAGCAAGCAGTATCAGGGAAGCCCTTTGTTCACTTCCCCAGGCCACTGGACAAACTTGCCTTTGTCCCTTGGGAGTGTCCAGTCTTGTCCCAGTCAGTTTCATATTTCTGTGGGGCCATTACCAGTACAACAGTTTACAAAAAGCCTCTTGATTCAACTTGAGAGAAATTTCACTTGTTCCTCCAGTGAAAAGCATCACAGCCAGGTCTCTACAATTTCCCCAGTGAGGAGAAAATGGCCCTAGGTGTTCGTTATCAGGCTGTGTTCTCAGTTGCAAAAGCCTTTCTGGTTTTCAAATTATTTGAAGACTGGGACGATAATGAGGATGAGTTATTGCTATGCGGTGTGACGGTCCCTTGTAGGCACCTGCACATATGGATGTCTTAGGCTTGATGCAGAGATTAGGTACACAGGATTTATTGGGGGGGGGGGTCTTAGGAGAACAGAGCTGGGGACAGTGGTGGTGCAGGACAGGGCAGAGGAAGAAGCCATGCAATGGCAGGTTCGCAGCTGGAGCTAGCTTCAGCCTCACCCCCCAGGAGCTGGACTAGCTTCAGCCTCATCCCCCAGGAGCTCTGGAGCATGAATCTTAGCAGAGTTGGTCCCACCTGCAGGCCAGGGGGCTGCCCTTGTCAGTGAGTTACGGTGGTGGGATGCCTGGGGGTGAGGCTGCATAACCTTCCTGGTAAGGTGATTTCACTTCTGCCAAGGATGATTTTCTAGAAGTGGGAGTGGTCACTGAGCCATTAGCAATCCACACCCACAGCAGTTAGGTGTGCCTAGTCCTGCAGATCTGGATGGGACAGTAAAGTTCACTGCACCTAAGGAAACCTGTGTCTGGCCGAGGGAAAGGCTCTGTGGGCACTGCTGTGTGACCAGAGAGCAGACACCAGGTTCTCAGGACAAAGGACTATAACAGTAGTATCAATAGTCAATGTCACTCCAGTGTTTAGGGCCTGGGTACCTAACCCATTGGAGAAAGCTGAGACATGCAAAGGGAAACTGGTTTCAAGAAGACACTTTTAAAAAAAAAAGAGGCCGGGCACGGTGGTGTTGGTGGCTCACACCTGTAATCCCTGCACTTTGGGAGGCCAAGGTAGGTGGATCACCTGAGGTCAGGAGTTCGAGACCAGGCTGGCCAACGTAGTGAAATCCCATCTCTACTAAAAATACAAAATTAGGCAGGGCACGGTGGCTCACGCCTGTAATCCCAGCACTTTGGGAGGCCGAAGCGGGTGGATCACAAGGTCAGGAGTTCAAGACCAGCCGGGCCAAGATGGTGAAACCCTGTCTCTACTAAAAATACAAAAAAAGTTAGCCAGGCATGGGGGCCGGCGCCTGTAATCCCAGCTACTCAGGAGGCCGAGATTTCAGTGAGCCAAGATCGTGCCACTGCACTCCAGCCTGGGTGACAGAGTGAGACTCCATACCAAAAAAAAAAAAAAAATTAGCTGGGCATGGTGGCACACGCCTGTGATCCCAGCTACTCGGGAGGCTGAGGCAGGAGAATGGCTTGAATCTGGGAGGCAGAGGTTGCAGTGAGCTGAGATCGAGCCATTGCACTCCAGCCTGGGCGACAAGAGCAAAACTCCGCCCAAAAGAAAAAAAAAATTAGCAATGTGGAGGAGGTAATCACTTCTCAGTGAATCTCTCTTTAAACATTTAGGTATTCATGAAAAGGCACAGGAGGCTGAAAGTTAACTCATTGTCAAAACATAGTATCTTTTTCCTCCACTTAACATTGTGTGGTCTGACTCCATGTCCTCAACATCTTCATGCAATCCAGCGTCTCCTGCATGAGAAATATTCTATTAACTTTCCATCATTGGCTGGGCCTGGTGCCAGCTTCCTATTTGACAGTGGAATCTATTAGAGCAGATACGTGACCTACTTTGATGTGGCTACGGACAGAGGCTTCAACCTCCTCGAACATTCAACTCCCTCTTTTGTCCCTTGAGGGAGAAAGTTAGCACAGCTACTCCAGTTGACTTTAATGAGTGGCTCCTACCCACAGTATTTCTCCGAAAAGTTTTCAGCCTTGTATGACCCCTTATTCATCAGGAGAAAGAAATGACAACAGAAGAGCATGTTTTGAAGATTTACTGCTTTCTCCCTTTGCTCCTTCCTTCAGAAGGGAGATGTGCATTACTTTTAATCCTTGGTAAGCATGGAACATAACCTACCATATCCATCTCTTCTAGTTTGAATCCTTGATTTTATTGTGACTCTGTTCAGGACAAAGAAGTAAATTCGAGATACTTAGAGGCAAAGAAGGGAGGAGAAGGTGTAAAGAGATTTTTGTTTGTTTGTTTGTTTTGGAGATGGAGTTTTGCTTTGTTGCCCAGGCTGGAGTGCAGTGGCATCATCTCGGCTCACTGCTACCTCGGCACCCCGGGGGTTCAAGTGATTCTCCTGCCTAAGCCTCCCAAAGTGTTAGGATTACAGGCTTGAGCCACCGCGCACCGGCCCTTATCCGCCAGGTTTGTTCAGGGATGTGAGGCAGGAGAATACGGTCTGGAGGCAGGGAACCTAAGGCCGATTCATGGTGACTTCCTAGAACTAAATCAAAACGAAAACCCCAACTTTCCACACCCAAGTAACAAAAGAACCAGAGGCTACTCCCTTTGCCAGCCCCACTGTCTTCTTCCATGTGGCTGAAGAAAAATGGAAAGTACCTCTGATTGGTCCCCTCCCGTAACCAATCCGGCTGGTGGTGGGCCAAATCTTCATTTACATAAGGCATAATTTTGTAACTTCACTTCAGCCTCTGATTGGTCCCTTCCCGCAACCAATCAGACTGATAGTGGGCCATTACTTCATTTACATAGGGTGTATAGCACGTAACCAATGGGAAACTTCTAGAGGGTATTTAAACCCCAGAACACTCTATAACCAGTCTTTTTAGCCGTTTGCTTAGGCTTGTTTCCTACCCTGTGAAGTGTGCTTTCGTTTACAATAAATCTCTGCTTTCGTTGTTTCATTCGTTCCTTGCTTTGTTTATGCGTTTTGACCAATTATTTGTTCAAAACACCAAGAACCTGGACACCCTCCACCAGTAACAGAAGTTAAAGGGGGAGCCGTTAACTTTGAAAAGTCAAATGCCATTTCCAAGGTCAGAGAAAAAGATGAGAATTGTTGGCTTTTTCAGAACTCTAATCTAGTGCTCCGTACAACCAGGCTTTTTTTTTTCTTTAAACTCCCTTTTGCCTAATTCCGCCTATATTGTGGTGTCATCAGAGAACATTATAAAAGAGTAGGTAATGGTGGAATTTGTTTTGTTTTTGCAGGGGCTCAAAATTGATTTTCCATGTTGTCATTTACTGGAGCTCTACTGAAGAGGATCTGGTCAGTGTGATAAGTAAGTTAATTAAGCAGTCATCTTTTCCCCCCGCTTCTCATCGCTTTGTACATGGATTTGGACAAACCCTTTCAGTTTCTCAGCAATTCTTTTGCTAACGAATAGCTCCTTACTGGTTTCTGCTTTCTGAATAAATATGTATGCAGGCTGGTTTGTCCAAATGCACTTCAGGTCTATTTAAGGTGCTGCCTGGTCACAGATGGGGAGGAGTGTCAGAGAGAGATAAATCAAAGAGCTGTCACCTTCCACGGTAGCACATTGCAAGGGACATTAACTCACCTCCAAGCAAGACAGAGGTGGCCTGCCTATCTCTGGATAAAATCTCCCACTGCTGGAGGTTGGGGTGGGAGTTGGGACAAGGAGCTGTAATTGTCTGCATCAACCTTGGCTCTGGGGAGCTGACAGCCAGGGGACCTCTCCTCTCTGGAGTTCTCTCCCTGCACCCTCCCTCACATTTCCTTGTACTACATTGGTTCCTTCTGGTCCTCCAGGTCTCAGCTTCAGTGCCACCTCTTCCGAGAAGCCCTCCGTGACCACCTCCACTGTTCCCACCACTCACCCTGTTGATTTCCTCCACGGAACAAAGGTATCTCAGTTTGCCACGATGCACACTCTTGTTTCTTCCAGATGGCCAGCTCTAGGAAGGCAGGGGCTCACCCATCGTATTCATCCGTGCTGACCGTCCACGCTCACGTTTCAGGAATTTGAGTGGCCCCGTGGGAACAGCATCTCTGCTCCTTAATGTCTGGGGCCTCACGTAGGGAGGCCTGCATGGCTCCACTGGGGCCATTAGTGTGTGGCCTGGTCTTCTCCATGAGGTGTATGCAGTGCTGGAGTGTCTGGGAGCTCCTTTGCTTACGAGTCTGGCTTCTTGGTGATCCAGGTTTCTTCCTGTCTCTTTCCATGTGGCTTGTACCCACCAGAGTCTGCCCCACCCTCAGTGGCTGGGCTTCGCACAGCCTGGTGGTCTCAGGATAGCTGGGCTTCTTATATGATGCCAGATTTGAAGAGGCAAGAAACAGAGCCTGCCAGGCCAGGTAGGCTCCTCCCCCAAAGCTGACCCAGCCTCGCTTCTCGGTATACTATTAAAGCCATCCCAGGGCCGCCCCACACCCACGGCCCACTTGCGTCTTGATGGGGGCATGGCAGAGTCATGTTGCAGAAGGGCATGTGGGGGTGGGAACTATTACTGCAGCCATTTTTGGAAACTTCAATCTGCAACATAGAAAGTGGAGGGAAGGGGCCGGGCGCGGTGGCTCACGCCTATAATCCCAGCACTTTGGGAGGCCAAGGTGGGTGGGTCATGAAGTCAGGAGTTCGAGACCAGCCTGGCCAGCGTGGTGAAACCCCGTCTCTACTAAAAATACAAAAAATTAGCCAGGCATGGTGGTATGCACCTGTAATCCCAGCTATTCGGGAGGCAGAGGAAGGAGAAATCTCTTGAACCCAGGAGGCAGAGGTTGCAGTGAGCTGAGATTGCACCACTGTACTCCAGCCTGGGCAATAGAGCGAGACTCTGTCTCAAAAAAAAAAAAGAGAAGGGCTGGGCATGGTGGCTCACGTGTGTAATCCCTGCACACTGGGAGGCCAAGGTGGGTGGATCACCTGAGGTCAGGGGTTTGAGACCAGCCTGGCCAACGTGGTGAAACCCCTTCTTTACTAAAAAAAAAAAAAAAAAAAAAAAAAAAAAAAAAAAAAAAAGTTACGTATTGCTGGGATTACAGGTATAAGCCATCGCTGTCACAGCCATTTTTAATGGTTCATTTTATTATGTGTAAGAGGTAAGGTAAACATCTCTGTCTTGCAAATGATGGTATAACACTGTCACATAGCTTACAAAGTTTCCTACTGAAATTTTCAATAATGAGGCTGGGGGTGAGCCTGCGTGTGTAATCCCAGCACTTTGGGAGGCCAAGGTGGTGTGACTGCTTGACCATAGGAGTTCAAGACCAGCCTGGACAAAAGGAGGGAAACCCATTGTCTTTAAAAAAATATCAGAACTAAAAGGTTAGCTGTCATGGTGATGCATGCCTGTGGTCCCAGCTGCTGGGAGGCTGAGGTGGAAAGAATCATCTGAGTCTGGGAGGCTGGTTACTGCACTGGAGCCGAGACCTCAGCTCACTGCACTCCATCCAGCCTGGGTGACAGAGCAAGACCTGTTGCCAAAAAAAAAAAGAAAAAGAAAAAAAGGAGGGAAGGAAGATAAGAAAGAAGAGAGATAAAACAAAGAAGAGAGAGACAGCAGCAGCTAATAATAAAAGAAAACAAATAGAACCCATTCTAGGGGTGCCTCTGCGAATGTTCCCAAACCAGCTTAATTTGAGAAACTGGGAAACGTAGTAAGGTAGTGGCTTGTATACTCCATTCCCAATGTTTTAGAATCTAGAGTAATTAGGAAATTTCCCAAAGGTGGGAGGATGAATCCTTAGGCTCCTCCATGCTCACTGAATACTGGCTGGGAGCACTGATAGAGTGGAAGTGGCTAGTGCCGGTCCTTTCCTCCCTACTCACAGGTGATTGCTCATGCTGGGATGCAGCAGAGGCAGAAGGCTGGCCTTTGTGGCCATGAGTACAGAGTAGAATTATAAACTGAGGACTCTTTTCACTCCCTGCCAGAGCAGTGACTTTTGGGTCTCAGAGAAGATGAGATTGCAGGGGCTTGGCCTGAGAGTGATGCCTTTTCTGCATTTATCCTCTGGAACTTTTCCCTTGCAGATTCAAGGAAGACAAAAGATCCTGACCTGGCACCTGTGACTGAGCCAAGGGGCTGAGCCTGCTGAGGGACCAGGCCTGACCATGTCCACCCTGGAGGAGCTGCCCACGAACCTTTTTTCCCTCTGTTCATGTGTAAAGCCTTCTCAGTGGAGACACTGTGAGGCCCTGCTTTTGATGGCGTGTGTTCCGGCCTTTCCCCTCCCGCCTTCCTCTGGGGTCCTGATGAAAAGAGGCCTGCCCAGAGACCTTCCAAGCTGTGCTCGACATGGACTTGATGACTGTTTACCCAGAGGTGGTCTGCCCAGTGAAAGGGCACAGGTGGGCTGGGTGGGGAGGGCCCAGGTGTCCAACAGAAGAACAGCTGGGGTCAAGGAGGAGGCAGAGGAGGTCCATGGGGACCCAGGTCGATGGTGCTGGAGAGGAAGCTTGAGAGGCTCTGGCCACTGCCCAGCTCCTCAGGAAAGGACTGCTCACCACGAGGGGTCGACTGAGGTAACAGGAACCCAGTTCTAGTGGCACTGAAAGGCACCACTAAAAGTAAACTAGGGTTAAGTACAGTGGCTCCCACCTGTAATCCCAGCATTTGGGGAGTGCCAAGGCAGGTGGATCGCCTGATGTCAGGAGTTGAGGCACAGCCTGGCCAACATTGGTATCCAGAATTGGTTCTGCCAGTGCGCTTAGTCTCGCTGAGTTCGTGGCAGAATGAAGCCATGGATCCTTCATGTGAGTGTTACAGCTCTAAAGACAAAGGGACTCAAAGAGTGAGTGGTGGCAAGGTTTGTGTGAAGAGCAAAAGAACAAAGCTTCCACAGTGTGAAAGCAGGTTGCTGGGAAGTGAGAAGGCTGCTGACTGAGGCTGGGGCCTTTGTTTCTTATTGTCCCCTCCTGTTCCATTTATCCATCAGAGTTCCTTTTCTGAATCCTCCCATGATTCGCCGCTTTGAATCCTGCTTGATTGGTGTGTTTACAGGAGCACCGATTATGAATTTACAATCCTGTAAGACAGGGAAAGTTCTGTCCCCACTGACCTGGTGGTCCAGCTGGCTTCACCTCCCCAACTTGGGTGCAGACACCCCAACTGCTGGGAACTGTATGATCTGGTCAGAAGGCATTCTTTGCTGGATAGAGGCAAGAAGGAGCCCTACAGTTGTAGTGATCTTCAGAAGGGAACTAGGCTGGGGCCAAAGGGCCAGTGGGTCAGTCCAGAGGTTCTAGGAAGTTGGGCAGGAGCTCATTTGGGGTTCCATTTGTGGGTGGACTGCTATGGCTTTGAGACGACCTTGATCCTGGAGGAAACAATCATTGACAAGGAGGTTAAGTGTTACAGGGCCTGCAAGCGCGAGTAATGAACAAGAGATGGGTGCTACTGGATGGTGAAAGGAGGGCTGGCCACTCCAAACTCAGAGGTTGGGGTAGCAGAGCTTGTGCTGTTGCTATTCTGATTTCAGAAGCCTTCTTTCTGTAAAACACGTGGGTGATCACTATCCCCACTGTTAGTAAAACAACACTTTCTCCTAAGAGGTGTAGAGCCCTCTTTCAGCAATGAGGAGGTCAAATGCTATTTGGAGAGTCACTGCTGCTGTGTGTGGTCAGAGTCACTGGGGATTGTGATTATACAGACGTGTTATTTTTTGGTAAAACTGCTCTGAGAAACTTTTATGTGGGGTAGGACAATGAATGATGCAAACTGAAGATTCTATTCCTGTAGCTGTGGCTTATCTCCAACCCAGGTACAGGCTAGGTTGTATGTGTCTGCACTGATGACTTGAGCTGAGGGGCACTAGAGTAGGTCTGATTCCTGCAATGTCAATGCTAATTTAGAAGACTATGGTGGCTGTGTGTGGGCTATAGATATGGTTGTAAATCTACATTCTTATGAATAAGTGCCTTGGCTGAAGAGGTGAACTGGCTTGCACATTGTAAAAGCAGTGTGAGTTTGTTGTTTCAGTTTCCCATAGCTCCAGAGTACTTTGCTAAGGTAGTCTTCAGAGCTGGAAAGGGGCACAGATAAACTGAGTATTCTGTGTTCTATTTTCTCATTGAGAAGAAAATTTTGTATTCCTAGGAACCATTCAAGAAAGTAATTGAAAGAGGAGATGAGAAGGCATTCACTAGTGGTGGCATGGCTGCTTAGGGTCCAGGTGAATGGTCATGCAGGAGTATGTTTGCCATACTAAACACAGACTGTTTGTTAAGCAGGGAGGAGGATGCTTTGGGTCCTAGACAGATAAGCCATCTGAATGGAACTGTTTGGATGACTGAAGTCACTTGACTACTGGGGACTTGAAGCTGTAGGGTGTAATTACTCTGATGGTGGTGGTGCCCCAGGCAGGCCTGATGGTTGAGATTGCGTTGGAGTTTACAAAGGACTTAGAAAGCAGATGGTATTCATGGTTAGAGCAGGGCTGGGTATATCTTTCATTGTCGTGTAATGAGGTGAGGTTGAACAAGAGCATAAAAGCTGGATTGTGTGATCCGTATTAGGTGTTTTGGTCCCATCAGAGATGGGGGAAGTCACAATGATTGCATATTTAAAGTTGAAGAGGGTTTTTTCCTTCAATGGGTGTGGTGTTGCTAGTAAAGACCAGTTTTTCAAGGGAACAGGAGGGTCAACGTGAAGCAGGTGGCTGAGGAGAGATATGTGCTTGTCGGCCATCGGCCAGGAAGGATTGACTGGTTTAACAGAGAGTGGGTTGGGAAGCTGAGAGTATTGCAGAGGTATATAAGTTTTCAATTATTATTATTTTTTCTTTTGAGATGGAGCTCTCTATCCCGCCTGTTAGGGGTGCAGGGTGCAATCTCATCACTGCAAGCTCCGCCTCCCAGGTTCGGCACCGTTCTCCCACCTCAGCCTTCCAAGTAGCTGGGACTACAAGCACCCGCCACCAAATCCAGCTAATTTTTGTATTTTTTAGTAGAGACAGGCTTCACCAGCCAGGATGGTCTGACCGGCCTGACCTCGTGATCCGCTCTCCTCGGCCTCCAAAGTGCTGGGATGAGAGAGGCACACAGCCACATGCTTCGCCTCGGGCAGATCTTTAAGGAGGAAGTGGCTTTCCAGGATCAGCTGGTGAGCTTAGTTGATGTTTCCTTCAAATAGGAGACGGAAGCCCAGTGGTTCACAGTTGTATTGAGGCTATCTGGTTGATCTTGGGACTCCTGAGCTGAGTGGTCTCAGGTCTGGGGTCTGTAAAGTTGACCTTGGCTGGTGAATCCAAGATTCCACTCCTGCCACCTTAATAACCCAAGTGTAGGGGTAGAAATAATTACCAAGTATAGTCCTTCCCACAAGATTCATAGATGAGGAGGTAGAGGGGAGGGACTCTGTCCAACACTAGATCTCCTGTTGAAAATAACTCCTTGTCTCTGTGACATCCATCGGGTAATGCTTGTTAAGGCTTTGCTGAGATTTTGTTACAAGTATCCTTGACCAGGCTGGCCATTTCTGATCAAGTAGAAGCTACTAGAGAAAATGTTATCCATATTAGTATTTCCATATGGACCAAGCCCCATTTTGTGAGGAGGATTTTGATTCCTCAAATATGCAGTAAAAGAGAGGCAGGTTATGGGATGAGTTTCTCAAAAGAAGCTTC